GCGGGAGCCGGGTCCGGCCGGGGGCCTCGGGCAGCTCTCCCTCTGGCCTAGGAGAGCGGGGTCTGCTCAGGGACTGAGCTCAGCCCGCAGCACTAGGGCTGGGGCCATCCGTACGCGCCCCTGCCCCACAGGGAATGGAGGGAATGGAGCCCCTGCCTGGGAACGGAGCCGGACGCTTGGCTCTTCCCCGGGGCCACACGAGTTCCCTGCAGCCAGTGTGGAAGGAGCTGGGAAGAGGACTGCTGGGACGGGTCGCCCCCAGGGGAGTTAGGGCCGAGTCCTGCCAGGGGAGCGAAGGGAGAGGAGCTGGGAGAGGGGTGAGCAGGGCACAGCGGGCACCTACCCCGTCCAGCCCTGCCCCCTGCCAGCCCTGTCCCAGCTGGGGCAGGAGGCAGGGCCAAAGCCAGGCAGCTGCTGGGCCTGGGGTGAGAACGGAGGGGGACAGCACTGGGACAGCCTGCCAGCACGGCAGCACCACAGCTCCGCTCACGGTGACCTAAAAGACTCTGTCCCTGGGGCACTCTGCTGGCCTGGAAGGGAGCAAGCGCAGCTGCCTCCGCTTTTCGCAGAACAGGGACACAGCTGCAGCCCTGCACATCTGGAGCCGGGCCCCACAGGGATCTGTGTGTCCCCACGGCTCCCTCAGAGGGAGGAGAGATTGCTCTCCTCCTCCCAAGTGAACTGTGCCACCCAGAGGGAGGGTAGCCCCACGGCCGCTGCACCCACGGGTTGCTGCAGCCAAGGGTGGAACAGGCTCCCTGGGGCCCTCCAGCCGGAGCAGCGTGTAAGACAGATTTTAGGTCTACCCTGGATCCATTCGAGTTTGAACTAGAGTTGCCATAGGGAAGAGGGGAGCCAGTTCTGCACCTCCGCACAGAGAGCGGAACAAATTGCCACCCTAGAGCCCATGGTGAGGCAGCTGCTGCTCCACATCCGGCACCCCCACTGCCTCCTTGCCTCCAGGAAGGGCGCAGGAGAGGAGTGTCTGCGGTGCAGGGAGCAGGTGTAGGAAAAGAGCTTTTGGCCTAGGAACTCATGGGACGGGGTAGGGCTGCGTCCCGTTTAGACCTAACGGCTCCAAGCCCAAGTTCCCTATGCATGGTCCCACCACGCTGAGGGCAGGCTTCACTTGGGGAGTGGCAGGGATCTGAGCTTAGCTCCACACTTGCACGGATTTCCACGCCACTGGGGTACATCACTGTGCCAGGGCTGCAGCAGCTGCCTGGGCCCCATGCAGCAGGAGTCGGGGGTCCGTGCTGAAACCGCCTTGCTTACAGCGCTTCAGTGCACGGGGTCTGGGCGTGCTGGCACGCCACACAGCGATGGAAGCGGTAGGGAAGCCTGCCGCAGCCCACCTCTCCCTCACTGCAACCCCTGCACTGCCCGGGGCAGACCCCACAGCTCGGAGCCTACACCTGGCTGTAGCGGAAGATCTCGCCGAGGTCGTAGCCGGTCACGGCGAAGGAGTTTCCCTCCGGATCGCAGAAACGGGCGCCGCATATCTGGGTGTCAGTCACACACTCCGAGTGGCAGTGCTCAATCTGCAGGGGGAAGAGGAGTGACAACGAATGACACAGACTTGAGTAAAACAAATACAGCTTGCCACAACCGAAAGCCCAGCCACCTCTGCCAGATCTGCACGCTCCTACAAAGGGGTGGGCACTGGCCTAGCATGAGCATGAGAGGCAGAAGCATTACATCTGAACAACACACAGGCTGGGCAACAGGGGAACGCAGCCAGGCCAGCAGACAGCTAGGTGCAGCCATTTCAGGGGCACGAGAACTGTGTGCTGATAAGATACAGCAGCCTTCCTTCCCTCCTCGTACCTCCCTCAGCGCAGGACAGGGCTGGGGATTACGCCAAGAGGAAAGAGGAGAGCTGTGTAGCCACGTGGGAGCTCAGAGCGAGCCTGGCAGGGTTTTCCCCAGCTCCTCAGTGACAACAGTATCTCACAGGAGGCTGCATGACAGAGCAGCAGCTGAACCCGTGGTCCCACTGGCTCAGTGACAGCTTTGAGTGCCACATGCTTGCTCCAGGCTCCCTGCCCCATGCTAATGTCACAGGAGCTCACCCTTCCTGCAGGGGCCTGTTGCTGTCTCCAGACTCACCTCGACATCGCCGGTGTCCAGGTTCTTGCTGAGCTTCCAGATGTGAACAAAGGAGTCCTCTGCCCCTGACAGCAGCTGTAACGGGAAGCAGGACAGAGGCAGTGGGCTGGAGGGACGCTCTGGAGCTGGGGATTGGAGTGCCCAGAGCCTTCCAGAAGAGCCGTGGCTGTGAGCTGTGGTGCTGCGACAGAGGCTGCAGCGCTGCTGGGCCCTGCGGCTCTGCCCTGGGCAGGCAGCATGGCGTGCCGTGGCGAGGGAGCAGCCTGTCTGGCAGCCTGCGGGGTGCCACGCTCCAGGCCCACAGATCCCTGTGGCCAGGTGCCTCGGGGTGGGGGGGCAGGCTGGGGTGCAGATAGCCTTACCTTCCCCGTCAGGGGCGCCAGGTCCAAGGCGTAGATCCAGCGAGCGTGAGCGTTGACCTCAGCCCGCAGGACACCAGTCGCTGCCTCGTACAGCCGGATTTGCCCGTTTCCATAGCCAGCAGCAACGACTCCGTTCCACAGCTTCACAGAGGAGCAGGTGCAGCTAGGCACAAGGATACGCTTCAGCCTCCTTCCCTCTGGGCTGCAGACCCACAGGCCGGAGGTTAGCGCTGGGCTTCCCCCTCCCAGCACTGCCAGCTGCCCTCCCACCCCTAGTGAGACCCAGAAATGCTCTGGCAGGAGATGTCTCAGACCACTTCACCGGTGATGGGATCCTGTGGTATGGCCCAAGCTCCATTTGAGCTCCATCCACCTCCCACATTTACCCAAAAGCAGGGATTTTGTTGAGCAAGGTGAACTCTTCTCCAGATCTCCAGATGCACAGGGTCCCAGAGTCATCCGCGGTCACCAGGTCACCAGCCCCATCCTGCAGGAACAGAAACAGCAGTGTTGTCCCCTGGGACCGCTCACAGCACAGCTAGCTCAGCCATCAGCATGGACAGGAGGCAGCAGCTGATTCACACCAGACGAGTTATTTGCTGACCCAATTGCCTGTGCCACGAAATTGCTACAAAGAAAAGCCGCCTGCAGGCAGAACAAGCTTAAAGTTTAACTGCTCAGAGAAACTGCTGACACATTTTGCCAAAGAACAAGGTTTGCCTGTGATTCGACATGGGCATTTCAGTTTAAACATGTTAATATTTGGCAACACTAATACATATAGGATAAATTTCTGACAAGAGTCACTGCATCTCCTCCCTCTGACTTCGAGTCTCAACACAGTTCACCTTAACAAGCACCTGGGATTTCACAGAGAAAATGCTGTCTCTCTGCTTGCTGAAAAGCTTTTTGAATAAACCACAGTACAAAGTCCAAGAGAGGCGTATTAGGGGACAGGAGACAGAGATGGATGACAGAACAGCTTTCAGATAAACAAGCTAAATATCCAGGCTAATTGGGAACCAGTTCTAAGCAATTAATTGTTCAAGGGAGTCCCAAAAGCAGAGAAAGTTAAATGTAACCAATTAGAGAAAGTATATGAAAAGTGTCCTCATTGGGAAGGAGGCAACCAATAATGAGGAAGCCAATTAATGTGTCTGCAGAGATATCACCCTAGAACAGGATGAATTGAATATAAGGAACCCCCACCCTGACTCCAGGTCATGCTTTGTATAATCAGGTAAAGCTATTTCATTTGACATGAGAAAGGTCACGGTGGGCATCAGTGAGAGAGAGCTTAGATAAGAAACCTCCTTCCGTTTGGTGAGGAGGAAAGGCTTGTCACCACAACGAAAGCTTCCTACACCAAGCCCTAAGCACGGAGATGCTCACTCATCCTGGTGTGCAGGCATGTGACTGTCCTCAGCTTCATCATCTCCCTGGGCTCCAGCAGTCAGACCAGGGTTTTGGGAGGATGATCACAGTCCTGTATACTGGCAGCTCAGTGCCCCAGGATTGCTCCAGAGATGCAGATATGACATGTTTTGTTGTGCCTTCATTTTACCTGCAGCCTCCAAAATGCAAGTGTGTGAAAGATCAGCTTGGACCGGGGATGCCCTCACAACCCTTCTCAGAAACAGTTGACATTTTACAGCCAAGCAGGTTTCTGCTACTCCCGGGGGAGGGGATCCTGGAGTAACTCGCAGCTCTAATGGTGGGAACTTTAATTTTAGCATGGGTTTATTCCTGGCCAGTTTTGCTCATTTGTTCTTGTATCAAAACTGCCCTTCAGCTTAAATAGCTCTTCCGTGTTCCTAGCACACACCCAGACGTATCACAGGATATTTTCTTTGGCCTGATAATTAGTTATACTCCTACAGTCACTCTTTGTGCAAGAGGATCTTAGTTCCTTGACCATCTCTGTTGGCTTTCAGCAGAGTTTGCCTTCCCAGAAGCTGGGTGACCAGAGCTGAGATTTCATTTAGCTAAGAAATGTGGCGACCGAGATGCTAAGAAGTGAGGGATGGGTCAAAGTGAGGACAAACTGGGATGGCTGGAGTAGCTGATGAGATGGCTGCTCCCAGCTGCACACCTCACTGCTGCACGGGTGTCTGAGTAGCCCAGGAAACTGCTCTGAAATGCCACAATTTATGATGCAGTGTTTTAAACAACTTCTGATTCCAATTTGCGTTACCTTGGGATGACATGCTACAAGCCACAGCAGCATGGCTAACATGGTCTTTGCAGCAGGGGCTGAGGATGCGGGCATCCCAAGCCACCTCTTCCCCCAGGTCTCTCTGAGCCTACCCTGACCAGGGAGATCTCCCTCGTACAGAGACAGGTGAAGGAAGAGGATGTTAGAGCTGCCTGCTGTCCTGCACTGTGAGGAACAGCCCGCTCTGGGGCAGCGGTGCCCGCACGGCAGCTGGCATGACCTGCACAGACCTCACACGCAGTGGAGGTCAGGCTGGTCATTAGAAAGCGCCGGCTCTGCGTGGGGCTTTGCGCCAGGAACAACTCAGCAATGGCCATCGCTAGGGTAAAGCCTCATCTCCCAGCCCAGCCGTCTGAGGAGTGGGCATGAGTCAGTTGTGCCCAGGGGGCGGTGGGAGCCCCCCGGCTCTGACACTGACTCCACCCATGCTTCCCGGTGTGCAGCCAGCAGGGAGCCATACCGGAGCCCAGCCCAGCTCTGCCGTGATATCGGTGATGGCATCGTGGTGCTCCTCCAGGACCTCGCTCACTGTGATGTTTGTCCCTTTGGGGGGGATGTCAAACACCAGCACCAGCCCGGAGGACGTCCCTGCAGACGGACCAGAGGAGGCATCAGCAGGGACCCATCCCACCCTGGACTAGGACCGAGCCTGCAGCCTGACTCTGTGCTCCCTCTGGGCCCCTTTGCCTACACAAGCCTGCTCCTTACGGATGCCTGTTTGCAGACCTACCTCTCTGCTTAACACACAGACGCTCCCACAGACCAGCTCACTAGGAGAGCTGCAACACAGATACAACCCCCTCAGACCACTGCATTTTACTTGGAGCTCTCAGAAATGCCTCCCAGTGTGGCCCCCCCTTCTCTTCCTTGCCCAAATTCCCATGCTTTGCTCACCTACGCAGATGAAGCGTCCACTAGCTGCTGCGATCCCTCGAGCAAACACCGCTTGTGCTGAAAGGAAACCAAGAGCTGGTTACAACATGCAGCAGCTCACGGGAGCCAGGAGACCAGTGCAACAGCCTGAGAGACCAAGGCGTCTGTTTGACGCCTTTCATTTTTAATGCTAGTCCCACAGCTGCCACACTGGGTCCCTTCTGAGCTCTTTAAACGCCCATCAAACCTGGACAGCAGAGTCAGGATGACGCATTAACCTCTTCTGGGCCCTTCCACAGCCTCCTGTGCAGGACTGCTTGGGCTAAATCCTAACTGGAGTCCAAGAGCAGTGCTGCTGGAGGCCAGAAGGAACCGAGCTGCACCACAGGAATGCACAATCACACACACCTAGGGCAGGACAGTGGGCAGAGGGTCCAGAGGACTCCTTGCTCCTCCTGTGGGATTTACCTGGTAGATGCTCCATGACATCCAGTGCATGCCAATAAACCATGATGGAGCCATCTGACTCGTACATCTGGAGAGAGAAAACAATTGGGTAAGACCCAAGATGGTGGGAAAAGCTTCTCCTACTGCTTTGGGCTCAACTGCTACCCCAAGAGATCTCCAATCTCCCCAAGCAGGATCTCCAGAATGTACCCCAGCATCGTCCTGTAGCCCAGGAGCCCAGGTTTCTTCAAAGAGAGCTCATCCTCCCAGCACCATGACTCTGTTTCTTGTCCTCCACGGAAAACAATCTTACCTGGATACCTTTCTGAGAAGTCAGAACCAGAAGAACTCGAGATGGTAGGACACACCAAGCAGCCTGGGAGGAAAGACAACTCAGTAACAGCTCAGGGAGGGAAAAGAAAGGGGCAAAATGCCCATATCACTTTCCAAAGGTGGGACAGTCTGCAGTCACCCACAAGGATATGTGCCCTGTCAAGAGGCAGGTGAACATCGCTGTCATCATGGTAAGTAAGGGAAACTGAGGCAAAGACTGAGACAACTACATGGCAAATGCCAGATGCCCCTTCTCAGACTGCCTGTGAGCATCACTGCACAGCACTACCCCCCCAGTCCCACTCATATCAGTTCGGCTGAATCCCATTGGAGGCACCGCACACCTCTCATTGAACACCTGGGCTCCGTGCAGCCCTGCCTGACGCCCCAGGTCCTCTGCAGTCTAGCTGGGAGCAGTTTATCATGTTGCCCAGCTCTCCTTGGAGGCAGCAGGGCATTTTTTATGCCCCAGGCTATGGAACCAGCTTCCTACTGACTGCTAGAGGAGCAGAGCCAACTGTGAGAGAGGGGAAGGCAAACTGCTACGGTCACAGCCCTCCTGGTGATGTGTGTGCTAGACGGCCGGCAGCACAAAGGCACCCGTGAGCAAGCCTGCAAGCTCACCCGCTCGCACCACAGCAGGATCCTCCCAAGCAATGCAGCACAGGGCGGAGGACCCCGCTGCCCCCAAAGGGGTGCTGCCATCTTGGCAGCCCCTCCTTCACCTGGAGCTGGCGGTGAGAGAAGCTGAGCCCGTCGCCGGAGGCACTGACCATGTTCACGGTGGTGCCATGCACGGCGGTGAAGTAGGCGAGCTGCTTGTCGGGCAGGGGCAGCACGCTCAGGTTGTTGTACAGCGCTGAGCTGCTGCTCTTCAGCTGGATGCTCTTCTCCTTGCGGTACATCCTGCCGGGGGAAGGGGCCGGAGCGAGGGGGAGCATCAGGGATGCTGACTCGTGCATCCACCTCCTCGGGGGACCCTGTGCTCCCTGGCAGCCTCCCCCCACCAGAGACACAGGGACATCCTGTCTCCGTGGCCTCCCTCTCCCAGAAACACCCCCTGTCCTCAATGCCCTCCCCAACAAGGAAGATCCAGGGACAACCGCC